CCCCTCCCCCTCCTCCTCCTCCTCCGCGGCCTCCCGTGCCCTCCCACCCCAGGACCCACCCATGGAGAAGGCGCTGGGCTTGTTTTCCGAGGACTTTGGCAGCTTCATGCGGCCCCACTCGGAGCCCCTGGCCTTTCCAGGCAAGTGGGGGGTGCGGAGCTTGGGGGCATCAGTGAAGGTGCTGTGGCCACCACTGCCAGGAATACGGGCTGCACAGCCTGCAGCCACAACAGATGTGGCCACCAAGACAGATGTGGTCAGGGAAGCAAGGGGCCCCCAGGTGTGCTACAAAGCTTGCAACTGCAGCCAGGCCTGGTGCAGCCCCGGAGCCCTGAGGGGCCGGGAAGGCCAGGGGCTGATGTCCTGTGTGCGCAAGCTCATCCCCACCTCGGAAAGGGGCGGCTGCTGGGGGCTCGGGAGCAACATCGCCTGGCGGGGCTGCCCCTCCCCAAGACAGGGGCGGAGACCCGGGTCCCGCGCAGGCCCCAGTCCTGCCCAGCTCACGGCCAACTTCCCCACAGCTCGACCCTCGGGACCGGGCAGCATCAAGACCCTTGGAGATGCCTACGAGTTTGCGGTGGACGTCAGAGACTTCTCCCCTGAGGACATCATCGTCACCACGTCCAATAATCACATCGAGGTTCGGGCTGAGAAGGTGAGCGCAGCCCCCACTGTCACTCCTGGGTCTCCTGCCCTCTGTCCCCTCCTCCTGCCTCCTACACTGGGGTCCCAGGTCCTGAGTAGCGTCCCTTCCCCATCCAAACTCCCGCGGCAGGCTGGGGGCTTTGGTCCCTATAGCTCAGGGGACCCCCTTATTCCTCTTTCCACCCTGAGGCATCCAGATCTGGAGCTCAGGAGCCCACAGCAGTGGAGGGGCCGGGGAAGAGAGGCCGGAGGGATGTGGGCTGAGAGGACCCCAGGGTGACGCACAGGGTGGGGAGCCATGGTGGCTTGAGGACAGGTCCCCTGGCAGGCTGGTGGGCAGCCGGGGACTTGGGGACCCCCTGAGCAGCTGTCCCTGCACACCACCCCTCCAGCTCTCTTCCACTGGGACCCCCGAATTGTGGCCTAGACTGGCCAGGCTTGTACTCAGGGTCACACACCTTCCACACAACATACCCTCCACCCGCGGACCTCAGGGCCACCGGGGCACCAGGGTCTCTGAGTCAGAGCTCCCAGGAGGCCCGCAGCCTCCACCTGGGCAGAGGCTGTGGCCGGGCAGACAGCTGCTCAGGGTCCCCACAGCCGGCTGTGGCTAGGAGATGTCACCGAGGCTTCCTGCTCTGCCTGTGAGCATGAGGTGCCAGGCGGGAACCCCTGCCAGGGCGTGAGGACTGGGGGTGGGAGGCAGCACGTGCCAGCCCTGCCACCGGACGGTGACTCAGCCGCCCGACTGCTCTGGACGCGATGTGCTGATGGGGCTGTGGGGGCGGGGTGGCCTGGCCTGCGGGGGACTCGTGCATGCCTGAGTGTCCAAGAGGGCAGGGCTCTCAGTGCCCAGGGCCCGGCGGGGGAGAAGGGCGCTATGCATGGGCCAGGCCCGGGGACAGCCTGCCCTGACCGATCCCTTCCCCAGCTGGCGGCAGACGGCACAGTCATGAACACCTTTGCACACAAGTGCCAGCTGCCGGAGGACGTTGACCCCACCTCGGTGACCTCGGCCCTGCGGGAGGACGGCAGCCTCACCATCCGGGCACGGCGTCACCCGCACACAGAGCACGTCCAGCAGATCTTCCGAACGGAGATCAAAATCTGAGGACTGTGGCCCCTGCCCACCCCACTCTCCCCCAACTGGCCAGCCTTGAGTCTGCCGAACCCCGGGACATCTCAGCCCAACTCTAGCCTCCAAAACCCCCAGGCTAAGGCCCTCCACTCTACTCAGGGCAGGCCAGCGACCCCTCACCTCACCATGGACCCCAGATTCCAGATACGTTTTCTCCCGATTCAGAATTGAGGGGCTGGGTAGGGACAGCAAGGTCCTGAAGACCTACTGAGGAAGGGGGTGTTGACAAGGAAGGCCTCTGGGCACATGGTCTGCAGGACAGACAGACATCCTGCCCTCCTCTGATCTGCGGAGCCTCTCAGAGGTGGGGGAACTGGGAACTGGGGGTGCCCTGGTCAGCTGAGGGAAGGTCAGGGGTGAAGTGCCTGTCCAGGTGGGATTGCCGGAGGGAGGCCAGGAGGGCCCAGCCGGGAGGGACACCTTCCTTCCCCTGCTGCCCTGGGCCCCAGCCAGCCAGCTGTGCCCACACAGGGCCCATCACGTCTGTGCTGGTGGGGTTTTTCCAATACAGCTGGTTTGTGACAAACCAGTGAAATACTGCTGTCCCTACATTCTGATGCCTACGAGCTTGCAGGCCTGGGCTCCCGGGCCACTTGCCCTGCACAGAGGGTCCCCAACAGTTACCCGGTTTCGTGCACCCCCCACAGGCGCACCTACCCCTCCAGCCTCCACTTGTGCATGGGGGTGAGTGTGTCACCCACACCCACACCCCACTGTCTTTTATAGCCTCACGTCACCACTGAGTGGGGCCACATCAGAGCACCCTAAAAGTGGATTCAGCCATTTAGTTTTTATCAGTGGGGAAGAGGAGTCTCGTGAGCCTGGAGCCTTGGCCTTTGTCACTGGAGGGTGGACGTGAACCCAGGATGTCAGCTGATGTCAGCCCCACTCTGGGCCCCAGGGAGCCCCTCACTCTGTCCCTGGGCTCTGCGCCCCGGCCCATGTCGTCCTGCTGGGGTGGAGGGGGACACGGGAGGAGCTGGGACCCAGTTCCCTCCTGGGCAGGGTGAGAGGGTCACAGGCAGCCAGGTCCCCAGGGCGAGAGGTGGGTCAGCTCTGTCTCCTCTCTTGGCTGGGCACCCTGAGGGTGTCCTCTGAACCGGGTGGTGGGAGAGTCGGCGGGCGCTGTAACCTGTACACACAATAAAGGCAGTGTCACGGATGTCCACGCCTGCAGTTCCCGGGCCCAGATGGAGGCCGCTGGGCTGAAGCCAGGGTAAAACAAGAGAGCGCTGCAGCCTCCGGCGACCCTCGGCCACCTGCAGTCCCAGGACTGCCTCAGTGAGACGCCTCTAGGCACCCTGTCCCCCAACTGCCTGGCCCTTTTCCTTTATTCAATCTTGCACGCGAGAGAAATTTACAGTCCCGAGCCTGTGTTCCACGCGCTGTGCCCCAGCAAGTCCCAGATGAAGGGACAGGATGGGAGGGCTCAGCGGCCCCTCCCACCCCAGAAAGGCCTAAGGTCACCCAGCTCTGGCCAGGCCCTCGGAAGGTCCACCAGTGGCCCTCTGCGGTGTGGCCCGAGGCTGCGGTCGGGAGCAGGGCGGACGGTGCGGTATTTCCAGCCTTCTGACTCACCGATTCCGCAGCTGTTTGCAGCCGGGGACTCAGCGCGGGCGGGAGAGGGAGTGCGCGGCTCCGTCACCGCGCACGACCCGGCCTCAGGCAGGGCCTGTGACTGGCTCAAGGTCACCCAGCTCGGAAGCGGCGTGGCTGGGATCGGAATCCTGCCGGTGGCTCGGGAAGGGCTCTGTTGGGTCCTCCCCTCTCCATTCATCCCGCCGGGCCGCCGGCCACGACCCTCTGCCTGGCGGCTCCGTCACCGCGCACGACCCGGCCTCAGGCAGGGCCTGTGACTGGCTCAAGGTCACCCAGCTCGGAAGCGGCGTGGCTGGGATCGGAATCCTGCCGGTGGCTCGGGAAGGTCTCTGTTGGGTCCTCCCACATCTCGCCCTCACCCACCGGGGAGACGTGTCGGTTTGTCCATCTACTTCCATCCAGCGGCTCCCCTAGGACAAGGGCCTGCCTTGTCTTGTAACTTTCTTTGTTTGGGGTTTTGGTTTTTGGTTTTTTGAGACAGGGTCTCCCTATGTAGTCAAGACTAACCTGGAACTCACTACGTAGCCCAAGCTGGTCTCAAACTCACAGCAGTCCTCCTGCCTCAGCCTCCCAAGTGCTGGGATTACAGGCTTGTGTCACTGTGCCCAGCTTTGTTTTGTTTTCTTTTTTTCTTTCTTCTTTTTTTTTTGAGACAGGGTCTCCCTATGTAGTTGAGTCCGGCCTTGAACTCACTGTGTAGCCCAGGCTGTCTTGAACTGGCAGTGATCCTCCTGCCTCAGCCTACCAAGTACTGGAATTACAGGAGTACACCACCTTGCGAGGCCGTGTCTTGTCACTTTGGAGAGGGCCTGGATACCAGGCAGGGAAGCTACGAAGACAAAGGGCCCACAAGTTTCCTCCTCCAGAAAGCCCTCCAGAGCTACCAGCAAGAGAACACAAGCCCGTGCTGTTCCTCCTCCCAAACTCTGCCTTCAAAATGAATCCAAAGGCAGAATAAGGGAGCACATGCCTGGGGTCCCCCACCCTGCAGAGACCCAGTCCAAGTGCCTCCTGCTGGCGTGCCCAGAGAGGACAGGGGCCTGGCCCAGGGTAAAACACAGCAGGTCAGTGGCAGAGGTAACACGAAGGTCTCACGCCCCAGACCATTGCCCCTGTCCACCACTGCACCCCCCCACTCTGGTTCTGCAGTTGGACAGTGCCTCATTCTGCCCAGGTTACTCCCAGCCTGGCATTGTGAAAGGCGCTGAATACAGGTTTACAGCCCAACAGGCCCGGACTGTGAGGGAAGAGCAACGGCCTCGGACAGCCAGGCCACCAGGGGCGACCTTGCCTGCTGCCTCCGAGCTGTGTGATTCTGAGCGAAGACCCCAACCTCTCTGGGCCTCAGGCTGCCAAGCCCGGCCCTACCTCCCCCACAGTCCCTGGCCCAGGCTGAAGGACAGAGGCGCCGACCCTGGGGTTTCTCCGAGGAGCCCTGAGCGCCGGGGAGGGGGCCCCAGCTTCAGCCTCCTCCGCCCTAGGCCCTAGCTGGCGAGCACCTCGGTCCAGGCGGGCGCAGAGTGGGGTCCTGGGAAACTCAAGGAGCGCTGGGCTCTCCTGGCACCGTGCTGGCAGCCTCAGCGCAAGGAAGACAAAGTCCACTTTCCCAGGCTGGGCACCCCAACCACAGCCAGTCCTGGGGCACGGTGAGTGGCATCTGGGGACGGGCGGCCACGCCCAGAGCGGCTTGGGAACGGCCTGCTCCCAGGGGCAGCCGCAGCTTTCTCTCCTCCCCTCCCTTCCCCTCTCACGCCCGTCCTCGAGTGCCTGTGTGTCGTGGACGCTGAACCCAGGGCCTTTGCGCAGAGCTGCAAACCCAACCCTTTTCCCTGTTTTGAGATAGGGTCTCACTAAGTCTCAAACTTTCCATCTTCCTGCCTCAGCCTCCCTGAGGGCTGGGATTCCAGGGGCGGGTCACGGCCCTCTGAGCGTTCTTCCCACACCCGTCCTGTCCCAGCCCTGCTTTCTTGCGGTTTCCCCACCTGTCAGCCTGCAGTCCTCTGTCTCCTCCTCTTGCTTCTCTTTGTTAAAAGATAATGTAAAATAAAAAGCAAAATCATTACTCTCATACATATACAAAATGCACACATTAAAGAGTTGCTATTGAGCTAAAATCTACGTACCATAAAATTAACTAGCCTTTTCAGCGGTACTAGCGGGTGAATCAAGGGTCTTACCACTGAGCTACATCCCCAGACCTTCATTATCATTATCATTAGTAGTAGTAGTAGTTTGTCTTTTGAAATGGGATCTTGCTATATAGTTCAGGCTGGCCTTGGACTCACTATGTAGCCCAGGGTGGCCACAAAGTCACAGTGATCTTTCTGCCTCAGCCTCCTGAGTGCTGGCATTACAGATGTGCACCACCCTTGTGAGGCTGAGGCCCGAAAATCTTCATGAGTTTGAGGCCAGCCTGGGCTACATAGTGGGTTCAAGGCTGACCTAAACTATATAGGGAGAACTTAGCTCAGAAAAGCGCCCCCCTTCCAAAAAGTCACACAGCACCACACCTATTTATTTTTGAGATGGGGTCTCACTACATTGACCAGGCTGGGCTCAAATTTGTTATCTTCCTGCCTCAGCCTCCCAAAGTACCCCACCACACTTGGCTGCCTTGTTCCTCACTATAAGGCCAAGTTCTTTCCCACTGTGGACACAGCACAGCTTGCTGACCCAGTCATCGGTGGTTGGACATTTGGGAAGTTTCTGTCTTCAGGTTACTGTGAACCCTCTGGGTCCTGGTTTCTGTGGGGGCGCTATTTTCACTGCCCCTGGGTGTGTGCTGGGCAGTGGAATTGTGGGTACCCTAACAATGTTTTGTGAGAAAATGCCAGTGTGTTTTCCAAGGAAGCTGTTCTACTAAAGAGTTTTTTTTGTTTGTCTGTTATTTAAGACAGGGTCTCACTATGTAGTTGAGACTGACCTAGAACTCACTGTGTAGCCCAGGCTGGTCTCGAACTCACAGCGATCCTCCTGCCTCAGCCTCCCAAGTAGCTGGGTCACCACCCCGCCCAGCTCGATCAGGGAATATTGAGTTGACTGTGCTAATGCAGGCCGGCTGGCTTCTTGGCACTGCCAGAGGGGAGCTCAGGGCCAGCCCGCGAGACAGGACGGAGTCTGCTCGTCTGAGGCAAGATCCACCTTATATTCTGTTGTCACACTATGCGGAGTCCTGCACCTCCTCTGGTGACTGCAGTCAGCAACCTCCCCACGTGGAGGGAGCCACCACCTGCCCGCATGTCCCCAGCCCTCACACACGCACAGGGCATGTCCCCTGCCCCCGGGGGAGATCCCTCATGCGTTCACGCCCTGCCAGCCTCTGGCTGTAGGCAGCCACTCCTGAGGGCTGGCTTTGGGCTCTGCCTCTTTGTAGTTAGGGTCCTTGGGCAAAGAGTTTAACCTCTCCGTGCCTCTGTTTCCTCATCTGTAAGATGGCACTGGAAATCCTACCCACTCACAAGGCTGGGGTGAAGTGAATTGATGTGACCTGGGCGCCTATAAAACCGGCCAGCAGGGGGTGGTAGCAAACAGCCCTAATCTAGCAACCTGCGGGGCTGAGGCAAGAGAATCACAAGTTCAAGCCCAGCCTGGGCAACTGAGCGAACCCCTGTTTCCAGCAGAGCACTTGCCTAGCATCTGTGAGTCCTGTGGTTCAATCTTTAGCACTGGGGGAGAAAATCTGGACAATAGAGAGCGCTCCTGATCTCTCCCAGAGTCCTTACCAGCCCCCGTAATGAATTCTGAAGCGTCACTCTGACTGGCTAAGGGTGAAAGAGAGGATGAAGCTCCTGCCCTGCCTTGCAGACCGCGTGTTCTAGCCAGGTCGGGACCCAGTGTCCTCCAGACTGGTGACAGGGCGACGCCTGCTGGTGGAATGCTAGATGTGCAACCGTGGGCCTCCCTTCCCTCCGGGGTCTCCGCTCGGTTTGCAGCTTTTCTCTGGCTCTTACAGCCCGGTGATCTCAAGGGTGAGGGGGCGGGAGCTTTACCAGCTTTCCAGATGGACATGTGCTGCCCACATTACAAAGCCACCCCTTGGAGTCCACACCGCTGCTCGCTCCCGGTGTCTGAGCTGATTTGGCCTCCTGGGCTTCTCCTGTGCCTTCCTCCATTCTGTAGGCAGAAGTCAGAGGGGAATTCTGCTCAGAGGTGGGCCTGGCTGTGTGGCATTCTTGGCTCACAACACCTGGCTGTCCCATCTCAGAACAAAGTAAGAAAACTGTGACTCACACCTGTACTCTCAGCACCCTGGGAGGCTGAGGCAGGAGGATTGCAAGTTTGAGCCCAGCCTGGTCAATTTAGTGAGATCTGCTCTCAAAATAAAAAAGGGGGCTGGGTATGTAGCTTCAGTGCCAAGACCCTGGGTTCAAGCCTCCTAGCTGCACAAAAACAAAAATAAAACCTCGCAGCGCTTGCCGGGCCTCCTGTGATGTGGCCCCTGACACTTCTGATCTCTTGCTTGTGTCTGTGCACAGCTGTGAGGCCTTGCCTGTCCCAGCCACTGACCCACCCAGGATCTAGCCCAGGGCCCGGCGGACAGTGGGTGCCCAATAAATACTTGACAGATGAACGATGGATCTTCCAGCCACGGCCCTGCTCCTTCCAACGGAGCATCCTGCACCCCAGCCACTCCCCTCCGAGTAGCTCCGTGGTCAGATCACTGCCTGCAGAAGCCGCAGTCTCCTCTCCCTGGAGCTGGCTGGGGGCCTCCCCAGTGCCCTGCCATCTCCAAGCCTTTCTGGCCATCGCCTTTATCAGAAGCTCTGACCACCACCGGCCTCCCTTCGTGAGTCAGCCAAGTGTGAGTTTGAGGATGGGGGGTGTCTGGTCTCTTGGGACCCCGTCTGCCTAGCAGAGGCGCCACGGGGACAGGCGTCTGTGTGTGCCGCAATGGGACCAAGAGCCGGGGCTCCTGGCCTCCCTGGCTTCTGATCTCACAGCAGGCTGTGGGGCTTCGGGTGCCTTCCCCAACCTCTCCGTGCCTCTGTTCCCTGACTGAGACGGGTTCGAGAACAGTGTTTACCAGCTTGTGCACCGGGAGTTGCTTCCCCGGCAGAGTCCGCTGCCAGCCGGGGCCAGGTGGTGGGAACCTAGTCGACAGTCCTTGAACGCGGCCTGAGCTTCCAGCACTGTTTCTGGGAGCTTTGAGACACGCAGCGGGTGCACCTCTTAAGACTTACACTGTCCAGCGGGGTAGGGACCAAGAGCCTCTTTTCCCATTCGCTGACCCGTCCAGGGGCAGCCTGAGCCTGGCACGCAGTAAGGAGGAATAATCTCTTCATGTGGACCAGTACGGTCTTCCGCGTCGTTTTTTTGAGACAGGGTCTCAGTGCGTAGCTCAGGCTGGCCTTGAACTTGTGGAGATCGTCCTGCCTCAGCCCCAAGTGCTGGGGTTACAGGTGTGCACCCCCACGCCGGAGCCCGCCCCGTCCGGCCCCTGACCCCATCCCGATATCCCCTGGGACCGATGCCTTCTCCCAGCCAGCCCCTCGTGTTGCCTGCTCAGCAAGTCCTTCCCCAAGCTCCACGTGGGAAGCTCTTCCCTGCTCACTGGCCCTATTGCACACCTGTGCAGCTCTCCTCGCTGTTCCAAGTTGCCTTTATTTGGTTATTTCATTTCTCACCCCAAGCACATGCGCCCCGAGAAGGCTGCAAGGGCTGCCCCGACCCTGGCTCTGCCGGGAGCCTAGCAGAGGGCGCTGTTCCGGTGCCCTTTAGCGGGCCCAGGGCTCTTCCCTTGGCTCGGACACCAGACCCCTGCCGGTCTGGGGACGGGAGGTCGGCCCTGGGGCGGTGCCCTAGCTGGCCTGCCCGCAGATACAGGAGGACAGGGCTTTGAGCGAGCCCTTGATGGCCCCCCAAGAAGAAGATGTCGAGGGCCCACCCTTCCAGGGGTTCTCCTTGGCTTTAGGAGCTCCCTGGGGGCGCGAAGGGCTGGCGGGGCAGGAAGCGGGGGCCTCAGCCCTGCTGCAGGGTTTCGGGGTGTCCTTGGCCTGAGCGAAGTTCTGCCCATCCAGGAGAGTGCCCTGAGTCGCTAGGGCCCAGTTGCCCCCACAGAACACAATATAGGTCTTCACTGATGGGGTGATGGGGCCCTGGCCAGGACTGGGGGCCTGGGGCACCAGTGGGGGTGCTGCCAGGGAGAGCTGCTTCCCACGGGCACAGTCGATGATGAAAGTCACATGCGCCGTTGGGATGGCCGGAGGGTGGGCTGGCTTTCCACCTGGAAGGGAGGAGAGGACCAGATTTGTGTGGGCACAGACCAGCTCACTGATCCCTCAGTGCGTTCATTTTTTTCTAACCAATACGCAGAGCAGAGATGAAGCTGGGCGTGGTGGCGCACACCTGCGATCCCAGCACTCAGGAGGCTGAGGCAGGAGGATCACTGTGAATTCAAGGTTTTGGTTGGTCATTTGTTTGTTTGAGATGGGGTCTTGTTATATAGTTTGGACTGGCCTTAAACATACAGCAGTCTTCCTGTCTCAGCCTTCCAATTGCTGCGACTACAGGTTATTTATAGTCCTTTCATTCTGCAGTGCTGGGGATGAGCCTGGGGCCTCACACCCACCAGGCAGGTGCACCGTTGCACCCCCAGTCCAAGACCAGAGTTCAGGTCCAGCTCTCCCTTTGTCAGCAGCCGGCCTTCCAGCCCTGCCTCTGTGCTCCTCCACCTGGCTGTGCTCAGCCCTTCCCCTGGATCTGGTTTGAACAGGGTGTAGGGGCGGAGATCCGTCAAAGGCCCCTGGGGGCTGTTCCTTCTGTTGCTGAGGTGCAGGTGCAGACAAGGTCAGATGGGGAAACTGAGGCTCAGCTTTCGAAAATGGTGGTGGTCTTCAGGGAGCACTGTGGTACCTTTCCCCCTCCCTCCTACATAATTTTCCTTTTCTTTTTTTCTTGGTACTGGGAATCAAACCCAGGGGCTTTGCATTGAGCTACATCTCCTGCCCTTTGTCGACTTCCAAACTCACTAAATGGGGCTCTATTTTTTTTTTTTTTTCGAGACAGGGTCTCACTATGTAGTTGAGGCTGACCTGCAATTCACTATGTAGCCCAGGCTGGTCTCGAAGTCACAGCGATCCTCCTGTGGGGCTCTAATTTGTGATCCTCCTGTCTCAGCCTCCCAGAGTGCTGGGATTACTGTTATGCACCACCAAGCCCAGCACCCCCCCACACAACCTTGTCCACAGCCTCGGAGAATCCTGTCTGTGCTGGGGTCATCTGCTCTAACCTGGTCACCGCTCAGCTCAGAGCCCAGTACTCGGTAAAAGAATAAAGGAACCAATTCATCAGTTTATCAGGGAAGCTAGGCTGAGAGCAGGTCTTCCTGAGACAAAGCCTGTGCTCATACAAGAAGAACTTTTCACCTGCGCGGGATGGCGCACACTTGTAATCTCAGTGCTCCGGGAGGCTGAGGCAGGAGGATCACAAATTGAACCCCAGCCTGGGCAATTTAGCAAAAGCTTGTCTCAAAATTTTAAAAGAGGGAATGAGGTTGTAGGTTAGGGCAAAGGCCCTGGATTCAATCCCTAGAAGCTCCCCACTTCAAAAAAGGAACTTTTCAGGTTACCAGAGTGATACACCTGTCCCTGTAACTACATGCTGTAAATGTGAGAGAGCGCAGGAGGAACTTACATGCTGGTAGGTTGCTCAATACCAGAAGTGGATGAAGCCCACTGCTCTGGAGAGCATCACAGCCCTCAAAGGTGTCCCTGTGGGACCCCAACCAGCCACTTCCCCTTAGCCAAGTGCCCTGAGCTCCTCTCACCAGAGCTGGTCTTCAGGCCCGGGGTGTTTTTCAGGGCGGTTCTCGGGCCCTTGGGGTCCTCCGAGGGGGCCATGCCTGGCTCTGGCAGGAGGGGACCGATCCTCAGCCACCTCTTCCAGGATGTGGGTGCGAGGCTGGGGACCAGACCTTTTATATTCACCAGATCTGCATCCGCCCAAGCACCTTCCACCTGGAGCGGCAGGAACCGGCCTGGGGCAGTCAGGAGCCTGCTTTGATCAAGGGGGTTGTGTCAACAGGATTACTGTGGGGCTGGGCAGGCTTCCTACCGGCACTGTATTCTCTCGCCAGCGGCTTCCTGGCTTCCTCAACCTTCCCGAACTCCGCAAGGTCGCACTGTCTCAAGGCCCGCTCGTTAGCTGCCTGTCTCATCAGCTTCTGTGGTTTGGTCCAGAAGAACTGTAGGTAACTGGGTGCGGTGCTGCACGCCTGTATTCCAGCATTCTGGGAGGCTGAGGCAAGATCACAAGCTCGAGCCCAGCCTGGGACAATTTAGCAAGATCTTGCCTCAAGAAATAAAAGGCTGGGGATGTAGCTCAGAGCAAAAGTCCAGGGTTTAATCCCCAGGAATTTAAAACACACACACACACACACACACACACAAAGACAGAAAGGGAAATTTGAGGTCGCTACATTAAATATAAACAGTATACTTTCATAAAGAAGAAGTAACCGCTGGGCATGGTGTACACACCTGTCATCCCAGCCGCTGGGGAGGCTGAGACAGGAGAGATGCAAATTTGAGGCCAGGCTGGACAATTTATACCCTCAAAATAAAAAATAAAGAGAGTCTGGGGAATTAGGGCAGTATGAAGTCCTGGGTTCAATCCCGAGTACCAAAACGAAACAATAATAATATTAAAAAAAATTAAAACCTCATGCCCAGAAAGCAGAATGAAGGTCTCACGGCAGGTGGCCGTGTCTGGGCCTCAGGACCCTCGTTCCTGAGGAATTTGCAGAAGTGGAAGGTGGTGGACTTTGCGATGTGGATTATCCTGGGATCTACAGGTGAGCATAGTGGGTCACATGGGTCTGGAGCTGGGAGACCCTTTTCCTGGCTGGACTTGACACCCGGGGAGAAGGGCAGAGGGAAGTAGGAGGGACTCACCTGAGGCTGTTGGCTGTTGAGATTCGGCTGAAGGGATAAAAGGAAACAGAATTAGCCACAACATGGCCACTCCTCCTTTTCTTTTTTTTCCTTTTTTCTTTTTTGTTTGTTTTTGTTTTTTAGAGACAGGGTCTCACTGTGTAGTTGAGACTGACCTGGAACTCACTATGTAGCCCAGGCTGGTCTCGAACTCGGTGATCCTCCTGCCTCAGCCTCCTGAGTGCTGGAATTACAGGCATGCGCCACCACACCCAGCCTCTTTTTTCTTTTGTGGACAGAGCCTTAATATGTATTTCATGCTGGTCTTGAACACAGCCCGGGCTGCTCTCAAACTCTTGAGGGTCCTCCTTTCTCAGCCTCCTGGGTGCTTGGATTACAAGTGTGCGTCACGTAAGCAGCATACGGTCACTTCTGACACCAAGAAGCAGCCTGCTCGGTAGCAGACACGAGCGGGACATCCCCTGATTCAGTTCAGTTCCAACACCATCTGCATGGTCCCCAAGACTGTGACCCATTTCAGGTGCGCGTGGGAGGCCCAGGTGGTTTTACCTATTTTACCTGTTTCACTCCTAACGGACCACAGCCCCTTCTTGGGTTCCATTAATTTGCTAGAATAGTTCATAGGACTCAAGGAAATGCTTTTGTTGTTGTTTTTTGTTTTCAGTACTAGAGATTGAAATCACGGTCTTTGCACTGAGCTACATCTCCAGTCCTTTTTATTTTGTATTTTGAGACAGGGTCTCCCTAAGTCACTAAGCTACTCTAAACTGGATTTGAATTTGCAGTCTTCCTGCCTGAGCCTCCCGAGTGCTGGGATTACAGGCATGCCTCACTACACCTGGGTATGCAAATTTACTATAAAGATACTGTAGGCTGGGTGAGGTGGCCCACGCCTATAATCCCAGCACTCCAGAGAGGATGAGTCAGGAGGATCACCACAAATTCTAGGCCAGCCCGGGCTACAGAGTTCAAGGCCAGACTGAACTGCATCACTGAAATCCTGGCTCAAAAAACCAACAACCCAACAAAACAATGCTGGGGATTTAGCTCGAGGGTGCCGCCGCTGCGAGCCTTGTGAGCACAAGATCCTGAGTTTGATTCCCAGTACCAAAAAAAAAAAAAAAAAAAGATCTTTTGGGACTGGGAATATAGTTTAGTGGTACAGCACTTGCACAAAGACTTATTTTTGTCCTCTCTCTCTTTCTCATTTAACACCAAGGCTCCCTTTATGCTGACCAGGTCTTAATGATCATTCATACAAGACTAACTCCACTCATAAGCACCCAAGGGCCTGGATGTTTCTTTGAACCAAAACATTTATCGGCACACTTTAGATACACACCGTGAGTGCGTTCATCGCAGGGATTTGTACCGAATGTGGTACATCGTGCCTCTCCGTCCCAGCCCTCCTGCAACCCTTCTTCCGCACCTCATTTACAAAAGCTTGGTTTCCATTTTCTCCGTTTTTCTTGTACCTTCCTTCCTTTCCCTCTCCCCGACTGTTCCTCTTCACATCTGAACACTTTCTTCACATTTACCGCTATCTAGAAGCTTGGGGTCCGACACCAGGTTGTTCATCGGAGCCGGCTCTGTTTCCCTGGTATTCGTCACCGTAAATTTGCCGCACAGGACCTGCTCGGAAGAATGACAGCCTCTTTAACAAATGGTGCCGGGAAAACTGGCTTTCCCCATGCTGAGATTGAAACCAGACCCGTATCTTTTGCCACACATGAACCTAAAATTGAAACGGATCAAAGATCTAAATATTAAAACGGAAACCCTAAATCTCCAGGGAGAGAGCTCCCGAAGACATTGGTGTAGGCTGACTTCTGATTGCATAGAAACTATGGCAAAGAATCAACACCTGGGATCTCATCTTATTAAAAAGCTTTTGCTTTAGCCGAGCGTGTTGGCGCACGCCTGTCATCCCAGCACTCGGGAGGCTGAAGCAAGACGTTCGAGACCAGCCTGGGCTACGAAGTGAGTTTCAGGTCAGTCTCAACTACATAGTGAGACCCTGTCTCAAAAAACAAACAAACAACAACAATAAAAAAGCTTTTGATTTTTACCAACACAGCGAAAAGTCAACCCACAGCATGAGAAAATTTTTTTACCAGGTATTCATTAGAAAAGTAACTCCTGGGCCAGGGATTTAGCTCAGCGGTTCCGCCACCTGCCTTGCAAGCACAGGACCCGAGTTCAATCCCTGGTACCCCCCCAAAAAAGAAAGGAAAAGTAACTACTATCTAAAATATATGAAGAACTCAAAAAAAGCAGACCCCCCTTTTTGTTCTTTTTTTCTTTTTTTGTTTTTTTGGTACGGGGGATTGAACTCGGGACCTTGCAAGGCAGGCAGCAGAACCACTGAGCTAAACCCCAGACCCCAGACTCACCAAACGTGAAGACCAAATCCAAAAATGGGCATCTGAAATGAACAGCCACTTCATAGATGAAAAAGTATAAACAGCAAATAAATATATGAAAAATGCTCCACCTCACCGGTCATTCCATTCCAGAGGTGCAGATGAGAACAACACTGAGATTCTATCTCAGTCCAGAAAGAATGGCTGTTATCGAGAAATCAAGCAGTCACCAACGCTGGCGGGGACGTGGGGAGAAAGGAGCCTTTCCCCACTTGGGGGAGTGCAGACTGGTGCAGCCACTGTGGGCATCAGTGTGCAGATCTCTCAGAAAACCAAAACTAGAGGCTCCACTTGACCTAGTCATTGTGCTTCTTAGTGTATCTTCCTGAAAGAATTAAATGTAACCCATCGCAGCAATATATGTGCACCCATGTTTATAGCGGCACAGTTTGTGATAACTGAATCTTGGAAACAGCCCAGGTGCCAATCAACAGACAGACGGATAGAGAAAATGTTTTGTTTTGTGTAATACAACGGAGTACTACTCTGTCGTAAGGGAGGGTGAGCGTCAGGCATTTATAGCTGCATGAACGCACACTGAGATTATTAAGTGAAATAAATCAGACACACGTTTGAATACTGAATTGTTTCTCTGATGTGAGAAACTGAAAATGGAAATAAGGACTAGAAGGTACAATAGGTTTTGGGGAATGGCGAGAAACTATTCAAATGGGAAGGGGATCAAGGGAGGAGGGAGGAAGACGGGAAGGAGGGACAAGAAAACAGAAAAGGGAACTAGAAGGAGACATGGGAACAGGCTGGGGAGTTAGCTCAGCGGTTCTGCCGCCTGCTTCGCCAGAGCAAGGACACAGGTTCGATTCCCAGTACCCTCAAGAAAAGGAACAAAGCTTTTGTACCTAGGGAGGGGAGGGGGCTCGAGGAGGGAAGAAGAAATGGGTAAAAAGAGGCGGGAGGCGAGTGCTCTATGACGAGAGTCATCAGACGTGTGCCTCAAACGCACCAATGAATGTTTGCTATTTAAAGAAATAAACATCTGTCTTGTTTTGTGTGACTGGGGATTGAAGCCAGGGCTGCTGTTCTGAGCTACATCTCCAGCCCCCCGATTTTTTTCAGCTTTAATTGAGTTTATTGGTACATTTTAGGGATACAGTACAGTTACATTCACTGTTGGGATCTTGTCCCTGTACGTGACAGGCCTTGGTTCTCACTTTTTCCCCTTGTCCCTGCCCTCCCTTCACCCCCTCCTCCCCTCCCCATCTACAAACACTTTATTTCCATCTTTTCATTATCTCACATTTTTTTCTTTTCCCTTATTACCCTTCCCCTACCCATCCCACCTTTTAAAATTTTTATTTTGGGACAGGATCTTGGTAAGTCACTGAGTTGCCCGGGATGGGCTCAATCTTGTGAACCTCCTGCCTCGGCCTCCCTTAGTGCTGACATTAGAGGTGTGCACCCCCACACGTAAGTAAAATGAAAAAGAATTTTCAAAGTGTGGACCGAGGACGCCTGGGAGGAGTACGAAAACCATTTTTTGGGACTAGGTGTTCAGCTCTGTAGGAGAGATCATGCCTAGTATATACAAGGTCCTGAGTTTGATCCTCCACACTGCAAAGCACAAACAAACCAAGGAATAATAAAAAGGCAGTCTTTTTTTTTTTTTGGTACCAGGGATTGAACTCAGGTCCTTGCATTTGCCAGGCAGGCGGTAGAACCGCTGAGCCAAATCCCCAGCCCCCCAAGGAAGAATAAAATACACTTTAAAACTTTTTCAATTTTGTTTTTGTTTTTGGTTTTTTTGAAACAGAGTCTGCCTACGTAGTTCAGGCTGGCCCTTGAATTCACTATCTAACCCAACTCATAGCAATCCTCCTGCCTCAGCCTCCCAAGAGCTGGGTTTATAGGCGTGCGCCACAGAACGCAGATATTTTTAGTTTTCTGAGAATCTCCATATTTATTTGCGTTGTGGTTGTACTAGTTTACACTCCCACCAACCATGTACAGCGTAGTTTTTTCCTCCCACATCCTCACCATCATTTGTTGTTATCCGATTTCTTGATGACGGCCATTCTTTCTGGAGTAAGATAGAATCTCAGTGTTGTTTTAATCTGCATTTCTGTAATTTCACGTATTTATTGGCCATTTGTACTTCTTCTGAGAAGTGTCTGTTCCTTTCACTTGCCCATTTTTTGAGTGAGTCCTTAACTTTGGGCCTAGCAAGTATGAGGCCCTGAGTTCGATTTCTGGTACAATGGACCCTTGACTTATGAACTCAGTTCGTTCACGAGGGCTTGTTGTGACTCAGGTTGGTTGTAAATCAAGACTATTTTTCCCACAAGCGATAATGGAAATACCTCAAGCCTCCCAAGGACCCCTTAAGTAACTTTTTAAAATAAAAAAGGTTGCATAATGTGTGTAATTTACCAGAAACACCAATAATTTTCCTAGTGTATTCACCAAAAAGTTCTAAAATGTGCCTGGTTTACCAGAAACAACGATTTCACACTGTATCACCGTTCAAGGTGATATCTCTGGATCGCAGGAAGGGTGGATGAATGGAGGGTGGTGACTGTTTGGAAGGAGGGTCCCCTTCCACAGGAAAGTCAGCAGTCTGGGCTCTGGTGTCCTTTTGCTCCTTGGAAGAGTCTGTGGCCCGCTGGGACCTGCTTCTGGCTCAACCGTTTTCAGAACTGCAAACTGGCCTAAGGCCGTCTGTTTCTGTCTCTTTAACGCTGCTCAAGTAGGACATGACACCGTTGCTAAGCAAGTGAATGCAACGATTGGTTTCTTTTCCTCTGTCTTCTCCACAGATGTGTGCAGCTCTGTCCCCTTTTTCAGGATTTCCTGTATTTCAGAGCTTTGCTGCCCTGACTGCTGCTGTTCCCCCTCCTCTCCGGACAGCTCCTGAGTGCTCCTCCCGAGCTCCTCAGCATCACCGCCGTGCAACTGTGGACTCTGCTGTGGTGACGGTGTCATCCGCCACGGGGCAACTGAAGGCTCAGGCTCCCTCTTCACAGCCTTCAGAATCTCTCTCCTGTATAATTTTAGGCCACACTTTCTCCCAGGCGATTTCAGTGTCCTTAGAGAGACAGTGGCCCAGGATTTTTCAGTTAATAGCACACAGGAAAGACCAGCAGTCAGGCTGCAGTTCAAGTCTTTGATCGTAAGTTAAAACTAAAATTCTTGTTGTAACCCAAGTTGTTCGTATGTGAGGCTGGTTGTAACTTGAAGGTCTATTGTACCAAAAAAGAAAAAGAGTTTTATTCTCTTTTTTTTTGTTTGTTTTGTTTTTTGAGACAGGGTCTCACTATGTAGTTGAGACTGATCTGGAGCTCACTATGTAGCCCAAGCTGGTCTCGAACTCACAGTGATCCTCCTGCCTCAGCCTCCTGAGTGCTGGGATTACAGGCATGCGCCACCACACCTGGCTAGGATCAGGTTATCTTAATGATGTCCTTTTGATCTCGAGGCCACTGATGAGTGTGGATTTCAATCAACCAGCTGAGCTGTGAGAGTTGTTTCCAGTTGGAACATTAAAACCCAGATCTCAGGCTGGGGGATTTAGCTCAGTGGTGCCACCACCTGCCTCGAAAGCACAAGGACCCAAATACGATTTCCCAGTACCACAACCAACAAACAATAAAACCAGGATCTCTGTAACGTGTACTTAGCTGATCTACAAAGTCAGCGAACTCTAATGTGCATTTTTCTCTCTCACGCACCACCGTTAGAATCCAGTTGTGACCTTGGTCCCTAGGTTTCTGCTCATCTCACTGGCTCAGGCTTGTTTATTCGTCTGGTTGTATTTTCTCCTTAGTCAGACGCTGGGCTGGCCCCACGGGGGTTCTGGGATGTACTTTCCTTACAGGTCAGGAAACAGTTTAGGGTGCAGGACTCTAGCAAACAGCACCTTCTTGCAAAGTAAAGTCCTCAGGGGGGCGGTCACACTCCCAGTCCCATCGGATGGGGGGGGGCTGCCTCCACGGCCAGAGATCTCCCAGGACTTGGCAGACCCCATTTCAGTCATCGCCACCCAGCACCTCCACCTCGGTTCCTAACACAGCTCTTTCCTAGGCCATGCACCTGGCTGGCCTGTGGCTACGGCTTATGTCTCAAGTATACTGCAGATCAGTAGCAGAGAATGAGCTCTGTTCACCTCTGGCTCCGAAGTCCTAAGAGGTGACCCCTTTCTTTGTAGAGTAGTCGCCAGTGAACCCTGGTCCTGTGACCCTGGCTTGAACTAGAGTTGAACACAAGTGCTTTCCTTCTCACGGCCATTAGTGCAGTTATAAGCAGCACTTTTGTCTTCTTTCCCACCATGACGGTCCACTGCAGTGGCCACTCCAGCTACCAAAGCCCTGTCTTCATCAGACAAATGAAAATGTACATAATTTGGGGGGGCAGTTTTGGAGATTGAACCCAGGGCCTTTTTCTTCTCTTATTTTGAGACAGGTGCTTGCTAAGTCACTAAATTGCCCAAGCTGGGCTCAAACTTTCAATCTTACCATCTCCCAGAGTACATGGATCACAGGTATACACCACCACACCTGGCTTGTACCACCTTCTAATCCAATGCCCTGATTTCTGCTCACAAGGAGCAGTGTGTGCAGAAATAGAACTCTCACTAGGGCCTGGCATGCTGGCGCACACCTGGAATCCCAGCACTCGGGAGGCTGAGGCAGGAGGATCGCTGTGAGGTTGAGACACAGCGAGTTCCAGGTCAGTCTCAACTACATAGTGAGACCCTGTCTCAAAAAACCAAAAAAAGAAAAAAGAAACCTCACTAGATCATCCCTTCCTCCTTCAGTTCCTTTTTCTCTGCTTCCCGCTCTCCCTTCTTTTCGTTCTCCCTTCCCTGCTGGGGACTGAACCCAGGGCCTTGTGAAAACTAGGCAAGAGTTCCACCACAGAGCTATACACCCCTAAGCCCTGGACTTTTTTTACATTAAATTTTTATTTTGAAATAATGCAATTGTCAGAAATAATGCAGAGCAATCTTCTTCTATCATTTATCCAGGTTCCCCTATTGGTAACAATTTGTAAAACTGTGCTACAATGCTACAACCAGGATGTCAGCACTGTTACATACAAGTTACAGTTTAAATGTCTCCTCCCCTCATAGCTCGTGTTCCAAGTCTTTTTTTGTTTGTTTGTATTTTGAGACAGGGTCTCACGATGTAGCTGAGACTGACCTGGAACTCACTATGTAGCCCAGGCTGGTCTGGAACTCACAGCGATCCTCCTGCCTCAGCCTCCCGAGTGCTGGGATGACAGGCGTGCGCCACTGTGCCCAGCCCCTCTAAGTCGTCTTTCCAGAAGAGAGGAATTTAACAGAGTATTAAGTCTGCATGCAGTTACTAGGAGGGCTGAAGGGACGGCCCATGGAGAAGATCTCTAGTACGGTTCCCACAGGAATTGCCGTTACTCACGAAGATGGGGAATCACAGACTCCATGGCTGCCAAGCATGGCAGCAAATGCCTGTAATCCTGGCACTCAGGAAGCTGAGGCAGGAGGGCTGCCCAAGTTGGAGGCCAGCCTGGGCTACATGGTGAGTTCAAGGCCAGCCTGAACTACACAGCAAGACCCTATCTCAAAAGAGAACACAGTACGGTGAAAGGGATGTGGACATCTAGACTTGGACTAGGAACTGGCTGCTGGTAACGGACACTGAATTTGGCTGTTGCCACTGCACAGCCGTTTTGAGACATTCACGGCACGGACAGGGGCACCCGCGTAGGGCTACAAACCCCCATGTCAGTGTGACCTTGCTCCTTTCTGCCTGAAGGTGTCAGCCAAGAGCAGCCAGTGACGGACCTAAGGAAAGCATGCTGCATTGGAATATCGATTATTTCAGGCTGAAATCACTCAACGAAGTATAATTTCATAAAGGGCCACCAGGCCTGTCTTTTCCTACTTGCAGCAAGCCATAAAGATTGTTTTGGACTAGATGTTCTCTCCATAGTGTGGCTGAGAAATAGACTTGGTCACCAGAGACTGGTGACTGGGGCTACAGGGAATTTAAATAAACTCCAAAGTAACTGCTCCCTCTGCCAATTTCTGCAGCCCCATCTCATACATCTCTTAGGAACATACCTAGAATTTACCACCTTAGTCCAGAGATCCAGTGTACAATCCCTTCATAAATTTATTCTTTGTCTAAAAAGTATAGAAGCATAGACTGCACCCACTTGAGAAGATTCCTTTCTCTTTTTTGATACAAGGTCTCACTATGTAGCTCAGGCTGACCTTGAATTTAAGGGGACCTTCCTGCCTCAGCCTCCCAAGTACTGGGATTACAGGCGTGTGCCACCACGCCTGCCTATGCTTTTCTCTTGTTCCAACTCTTGTACTAATTGGGTTCCTAGATTCAGCCAGAAAACCCACAGAAGAACTAAGGAATTGGCGGGTGTGGTGGCACATGCCTATGACTGCAGCACTTTGGAGGCTGAGACAGGAGGATGGAAAGTTCTAGCCCAGACTGGGAAACTTAGCGATTCAATGAGACTGTCTCAAAATAAAATGTAAAAAGGGCTGGGGATGTAGCTCAGTACCATACAAACCAACCCTAAGGGGTACATGGCAATGTCCTCACTTCCAACTTCCAAATCTCACTGCAGCTGAATGTGGGAATAAAATTTTAGCTTTTCAGACCCTGGAAAGACTGGATGCTGAGTCCCACTTGACCACATCTCACAAAGATGGACACAGAGATAGATTTGCACTTAGTATTGGAAACATAAGAGGGTTTTTCTGTCAGTTCTGCTGCTATTTTCTCTGTTTAGAAAAAAAGAGGCAAAAGACAAGTACCAATAAGAATGTGGAAAAAGCTGGAAACCTTGAGCACTGTGGGTGGGAATACAAAATTGTGCAGCTATTACAGAAAAAAATTTTTTTTTGTGTACAGAGTCTCACTATGTAGCTCAGGCTGGCCTTGAACTTGCAGCCATCCTTCTGCCTCAGGGTCCCAAGCATGGGGATTACAGGTGTATGCTACCAACCTGGTAGGAATACATCCTTTAGCTGATACCTAAGGCCTTCTGGTATTCATCGTCAGCCCATTCTGAACCAATAATGATGAAGCTGGAGGGCATACACCAAGGAAATAAGCTAGTCATATTGGGACACATACTGCACGATGCCACATATATGAGCTATCTAAAAACAGACAAATTTGGCCAGACCCGGTGATGTACATCTATAATCTCAGCACTCAGGAGGCTGAGGCAGGAGACTGCTGTGAGTTCAAGACCAGCCTGGGCTACACAGCAAGACCCTGTCACAAAACAAGCAAACAAACTAAAAACAACCCCGGAGAACATAAACAAATAAATAATTTTAGGGCCGGGGATTTAGCTCAGTGATTCCGCCGCCTGCCTCACAAGCACAAGGGCCCGAGTTCGATCCCCAGTACCAATAAATAAATAAATAAATAAAATTAAAACGTCAAACTCACAGAAACAGGGAAGAACTATGGTTATCAGGGGCGGCAGAGGAAGGAATAGGAGATTGCTAATCAATGGACATAAGGTCTCAATTATGCAAAACCAGTGCATTCTAGAAATCTGCTGATAACATTGGACCTATAGATTGTCATGCTGTATTATCATACACTTGGAAATTTATCAAGCTACACTTCAGGTTGACAGTAAAAAATGTTTTTCAGAGAGATGATGTCAACTGCTGAGCTGTTTAATCCTTCTAGTCACTGTGAAGAGAGTGGTGAGCTGTCCAGGGGACATTTGTCCACGTCCCGCTTAGGCAAGTGGCCACAAACTTATGTGATGCGGCCAGCCCCACTGGGCGTTTTTCCCAACTGTGCTTGCTTAGCTGTTTGGGTGCAGGCAAAGAGAAAAAAGGGAGTTGGATTCGCTCAGGGTCACAATTCTTACTAAATTCACATGACTAAAAGACAACGAAATGAGAGGTTCACCGCAGTGGCGAGAGCGTTGTTAGATTTATAGATCACTGCCGGGGCTTTAGCTCAGCGGAGCTGCACCTGCCTTGCAATCACGAGGTCCTGAGTTCACTCCCCGGAACCAAGAAAACAAAACAACAACCAACTAAACAAAAATTTATAGATCATGTAAAGAAAATGTTGTATTTATACACAATGGAGTCCTGCTCTCACATAAAGAAAGGTAAACTTAAGGCATTCTTAGGTAAAGGCATGCAACTGGAGGCCATCAGTGAAATAAATCAGACACACAAGCTTAAATATTTAATGGTTTCTCTCACATGAGAGAGAGGATCAAAACAGAGAAATAGCAGGTAGCCAAGAAGGCAGTAGGGAGATCTTTTTCAAACGAATGAGGGGAAAGAGATGGAGGCAGGGGAGGGAAAGGAAGGAAAGGGCGTGGGGAAAAAAGAATCGAAGGGGAAAATTATGAAAAACGGAGCTCTTGCAAACTGGAAGGGAACAAGAGTTGGAAGGAGCGGGGTGGGAGGGGAAGGGTAGAGAATGAAAAAAGAGAGAAAAAGATGCGTTATGAGGGTCACGCCTGCCCTGAATTCGATCCCCGGTACTGGGGGGAACTGTGTTAAGTACCTGTAAGCACCTCCCCACGATAACGGTAACTGTGTACCGCAAACACGCATTAATAAAAAAAAATTAAAAGCACAACCCCCGCCATTACAGATCACGGAAAAGGAAAGCACCAAAAGGAAAACAGGAGGAAGCCCGCGAAGAGTGAGGAAGAAGTCAATGGTAAACGTGCTGAACACCTGGAAGGAGACCCCAGAGGGGTGCGCAAGCCGGCCACAGACACCTGTCTTCGGATCTTAAACAGGAAGGGGGTAAGAGTTGGTTTAGAAAGTATAACAGAAATATAACAGAACCTGCAGCTTCGGAGCCACAACTAGGTTCCCATCCCTGCTCCACCGCTCGGCGATGTGGCACTACGGGCAATTCATTTACCCTTTTTGAGTTTGAGTAAGTTGGTGTGAGGAGCTAATGAGACAACGCACGTAAAGTGGTTCTCACAGTCCCTGGCACACAGCAAGTGCGAAAAACAAGCAAGCTGTTACGGATACCGTCGGAATAGAGAACCAAGGCAGGGCGATAATGACGACAATCACAAGCGCAGAAGTACCGTAAGGTAGAACTTTTGGATGACTAAGCGCATGCGCTTGTCCGGGTCGCGCGGCTACGGCGAGCGGTGCGCATGCGCCGGAAGTTGCGGCCGGGAAGCCCGCGAGGTCGGTTCCGCCCGACTTTAACATGGCGGCGCCCTTTGTCTGCTCTGAAGTGCCGTCTCTGGCCTTCTCGCGGCCGTGATGCGCCTCCTCCTGCGGCGCGGTCC